GAGTAAGAAATGTATTTTAAAAGTAATACTGATTGTCTTCATTCCCTGGTGCTGCTATAACAGACAGAGTACAAAAAGAAATTAATTTCTCTCACTTGGTTGGTGGGCTATGTGCCATGGAGTTGGTTCCGACTCATAGTGACCCTGTATATGATTCCCAAGGCTGTAAATCTTTACAGGAGCAGAAAGTCTCATCTTTCTCCCACAGAACAGCTGGTGGTTTATGAAATCCTGACCTTGAGGGTAGCAGCTTGACTCATGACCACTACACTACCAGAGATTCTTGCAGTTTAGGGGACAAAAGGTCCAAAGTCAGAGGGCTGGCTCTAAGGGAAGGCCTTCTTTGCCTGTTTGCTCAAGAGGTCTTTGTCTCTTTAGCTTCTGCTTTCTGGCTCCTTGGAGGTCTCCAGGCAATTCTGTGCTCCTCTGTTCTTTTCTTTACTATCTTTTACGTCTGAAAAGAGATTGACTCAAAATACACCCTACACTAATCCTACCTCATTAATATAACAAGAACAACTCATTCCCAAATGGGATTATAATCACAGGCATCGAGGTTAGAATTTACCACCCAGGGACTCTACCTCCATACATAAGAAGTAATTATGTGTACAGGCAGAATGATGGTCCACCAAAAGATGCCCACACCCTCATCCCCGGAGCCTAGGAATACATTACTTTATGTGGCAGAAGGAATTTTGTAGATGTGATTAAGATTAGGAGGTTACCATGATTATCTGGTAGTCACACGATAATCACATCAATCCTGACTGTCCTAAAGAGAGCTGCATGGAGAGAAGAAGTCATGGAAAGCCCTATGGTGCACAGAAATGAGACATGAGAAAGATTTGACCCAAAGTTGCTATTTTTGAAGATGATGAAAGAAGACTAAGAAAGAGCCAAAGAAAGAAAGTAGGTCATAAAAAAAAAAACCAGGAAAGACTGAGAAACTGTCACAAACTGCGGAAACTTTGGAGACATGATAATTAAATACAATGTGGAAGCTTGTGTTCAATCCAGGAATAGAAAAAGGAATTTGGGAGGGTAGGGTGACAAAACTGAGTAAAGCAGATACAATAGCTTTCTAGACTATCTTTGCAACTTTTTAGTATATCTAAAATTACTCTAAAATAAATGTTTATTTAAAAAGAAATAGAACTAGGGTGATAGAAAACTTTGAGAAATGAATATGGGGATGGGAACACAGCATGGCGAATGTAATTAATGTCATTGAAATGTACACTGAAAATGCTTAAAATGATCAACTTTTTTGTTTTCTATATATATGCATATATATATTAGTGAAGTCCTGATGTGGTGCTGTGGGTTAATGTGCTGGATTGCAAAGTCAGTTTGAAACACAAGCTCACCAGCCGCTCCTCAGTAACCCTATACAGGATCTCTATGGGTCAGAACTGACTCCATGGCACTTAACAACAACAACATGTATATTACTACAATAAACAAATAAAGTTAGTATGCAGAAAAATAGGGGGAGTTTTAATTAAAAACGAAGGTAGAATGAAGAAAGCTCTCACTGGACAAGTGGAGTTAACCAGAACATTTGGTTATTATGAAAATTAGCAATTAAAAGGAAATAAGCATTAAAAATACAATAAAAAGGCTTTTCCTTCCTGGCTGCCTGAGCGTCTGCCACCATCATGAATGACACAGTAAGTGCCCGGACTAGGAAGTTCATGACCAACCGATTACTTCAGTGATGCCCTTCACCCAAGGAAGGCAACAGTACCTAAGACAGAAAAACTTGCCAAAATGTCTAAGATGACACCAGATGTCACCTTTGTGTTTGGATTCAGAACCTATATTGGTGGTGGCAAGACTACTGGCTTCAGAATAATTTATGATTCTTTGGATTATGCAAAGAAAAATGAACCCAAACACAGACTTGCAAGACATGGCCTGTATGAGAAGAAACAAACCTCAAGAAAACAGTGCAAGGAATGCAAAAACAGAATGAAGACAATCAGGGGGCCTGCAAAGGTGCCGGCAAAAAGTGAACTAGAGATTGGACAACAGAATGAATAAAGTTTCTTCTGTGACTTGATCTACGATGATTGTGGATTTTCACCAGGGGCTTAATAAACCCTAAAATCTTTTTTAAAAAATACAATAAGAAGTGCTAGCAAGGATGTAAATTTACCACCCAGGGACTCTACCTCCATACATAAGAAATAATTATGTGTACAGGCAGAATGATGGTCCACCAAAAGATGCCCACACCCTCATCCCCGGATGTGGTTGTGGTTCTGGAATTCTCATTGCTGGAGGGAAGGTGAAATGATGAAGCTACTTTGGACAATTATTGGGTTGTTCCTCAGATGGTTAGAAAACTACTGTATGCGTTGTTGTTAGGTGCCTTCGAGCCCAATTGGTAGCAGTTCGTAGTGAGTGACCTTATTATGAACAGCAGAATGAAACACCACCCGAGTATGATCTGCTAAGTTCACTTCTACTTAAATACCCAAGAGAATTGAGAAGGTATCAATACAAAAATGTTTTATACAAATGTTTGTTGTTTTTGTTAAGTTCTGCCAAGTCAGTTCCAGCATTAGTCATAATATTAAAAAACTGGAAGCAACCCAAATGTCTATCAACTGATGAATTGTTGCTGTGGTTAGGTGCCATCCTGTTGGTTCTGACTTACAGTGAGTGACCCTATGCATAACAGAACGAAACACTGCCTGATTCTGTGTCATCCTCACACAATTGTTGTTACTCTTGAGCCCACTGTGCCAATGTCTTGTTGGGGGTCTTCCTCTTTTTCACTGACCCTTGACTTTACCAAACATGATGTCCTTCTATTGGGACTGGTCCCTCCTGATAACGTTTCTGAAGTATGAGACACGAAGACTCGTCATCCTGACTTCTAAAGAGCATTCTGGCTATGTTTTTTTCAACACAGATTTGTTGTTGTTGTTGTTGTTGTTGTTTTCCTGGCAATCTATGGGACTTTCAGTATTCTTCTCCAACACCATAACAATTAACAACAATAACAATGAGGGAAAACTCTTGTGTGCAGAAGAATTCCAACTAATAAATGTAGAAGGAATGATAGAATTAGAAACACATCATTATACAACCTCTAATGAAACAACTGA